CTGGGATGAAACCCTTATGAAGAAAAGTTGAACAGGTTGAACATTTACTCAGCGGACTTTACAAGAATGAAAGGTTTTTTGTTTACATTCATTCATAGGGTGAAGGCGTCACTGACTAGGCATTTACTGCCCATCCTTAATTGCCCAGGAGGCAGTTAAGAGTCAACCAAATTGCTATGTGTCTGGAGCCACAGGTAGCCAGACCAGGTAAGGATGGCAGTTTCCTTCCCTAAAGGTGATCTTAATGAATCCTACAAGATCCTGAGGGAATTGATGTGGTGAATTCTGAGAGTATGGTTCCTCTTGTAGGCCCACTTTTAAAGTGGAGATGAGGAGAAATTTAAAAGAGTTGTCATTGTGCTGGGTCATCCAGAAAATCTTGCAGGCTGGGTCACAGATTTTATTCAAGGCCAAGTTGGATAGATTTTTGAAAGGCAAAAAAGAGATGAGCATTATTGGTGAGAAGACAGGAAAGTGGAGTTGACATAACAACCGATGTTGACAACATGGTTCACAATCTTACTGAATGGTGCAGCAGGCTCAAAGGGCTGAATGGCCTACTCTTACACCTAAGTACAATGTTCCTATGACACAACAAAGTATCCATTCCACAGAGGTACAGAGTGACTGTGGAGATGGTGACAACAGTGAATGACAACAGAGCTGTGTTACGTGCTTTGTGTATTCAGATATGAACATTTAATCGTATTTTCAATTGCTGTTTGCATGAATCTTATTTACAGATGTACCACTAACCTCTCAGTCCCTGCCTCATCTATTCTGTTTGCTGTTACCCAAAGCACAACACTGTTCTCTTGTCTCAAATATTCTCTTGAGATTTCCCTGCCCAGTGCCTCTTAGTTTAAAGGCCTATCCACAGTCAGAATTACACAATTTGCCAAGACACTGATTACAGGCCACTTTAATGGGATCCCACCTCAATCAAACAACTCGCTCTTTGCCAAGGATTTGTGCCTGTGAACCATGAATGAAAACCCATTCTCATCACACCACTCTTTGAGGCACTCTTCAATTGTTTAATCTGGTGCAATCCTGTGCCCTACCCCATGGTGGGCTCGGTGGTAAGGGTTCATTAATCAGCTTCGAGGAGGCAGGTAGCTGGGAACCCCAATGCCATTTGATAGCCACTGCTGAGTTTGGGCATTGCCAGGAAACCACCAACAGCAATCAGCTATTCAAACTATAGGCAGCTCTTGGAGGCAGATCTTCCTTCCATTGAGGGGCGGAGTCATGAAAGGTAATCGAATGGCAAGCATTGGATTGGAGAAGCAAACTGTGGACCTCATAAGAGCTTGGAGAGGGCAAGAGAAGTGACTGGAGGGAAACTCTGTATGTGTGTGTGTGTGTGTGTGTGTGTGTGTGTATCTACATGTGAGTGCATGTCTGTGTGCGTAACTGCATGTGTCTGTGTGCTTGTGTGAGCGTGCACATGTGTGTGTAAGGGGATGGTCAAGGTGTGAATTGGGAGAAGTTTCAAGAAGCGATATCACAGAAAACATATCTTTTGTTGTGCTCTTCTAGGATAATTGAGGAGAAGTTTAATAGAAGGGAAGGAGAAACGGTAGTACAGGACTAGATTTGGCCAAAAATAAGATAAGGTATTTCATTAAGTCTTGTATATTACATTCACCATCATTAAAGGGAGTAAAGAAGGAAACTGTAAGGGGGCAACTTAAGTTTAAAGAACACTGAATGATGTGAGAGAAGTAGAAGTATTTATGTCAGAGATGAGGGAACAGTTGATCAGTTCCATAACAGCAGTGATACTGTGAAGGAGGGACGGCTGATAGAAAGGAAGTTGGAATGTGTCAGCAAACTTGGGAGGTACCCATGAATAGTTTTATCCAGGGTTTGCGAGCAGAGGCTCTCCTGTGCTTCCCTATGGTCCCATCTTGCTGCATGCTTCACAGGTTCACTTTGAACAGAAGTATCAACATGCATTTCGATGTCCAGTATTGGAAAGCTACAACATGTACATGGAGCCAGGTCACAGACCAGCCAAGATTTCACTGAATAGCTGGACAAGCCAAATTCGCTTAGTCCTCAAGAGGGTGATGGTATTATTGTGGGAATGGACTTGATCCCAACAATGCAGTGAGGTACACTGGGCGATAATGAATGCCACAGTTGCAGCAAGTCTTAAAATGGGAAGCCACATTGCTCAAGGAAGGGTGTCCAAATTTGTCTTACATTTTCACTCACTGTTAATTAGATACTATCTAGTGCCATGCTATTAGCAGCACCTGTAATATTACAGCCAAAAAAAAAAATCCTTACAGTTTGTGACACCTAATAAATCACAGGTTCCAATCATGGTCCTTTTTTGATTCATTCATGGAACATGGGTGTTGCTGACTGGCCAGCATTTATTGATAGTTCTCCCATTTTCGTGTCAATTTATTGACTGTTCCTAGTTGCCCTTGGAAAGGTGGTGAGCTGCTTTCCTGTACCGCTGTAGTCCATCTGTTGTGGGGTACCCACAATACCGTCAGGGAGGAATTCCAGGATTTTGACCCAGTGTGTGTGAAGGAACAGCGATATATTTCCAAGTCAGGATGGTGAGATAGCGGTGTTCCCATATATCTATTGCCTGTTGTCCTTAGACGGCTCTGGGGTTTTGTTGGGTTTTGTTTGCATTAAAGTCTCTCTGGCTACACGTTGCATAGATCTGCCAATATTACTGCACGTTGACATATCTACTTACATTCTTGTTTAAGTAAATTACATGCATATTGTCGAGGAAGTCACCTTATCTGGCACTACTGAATATCACATGTGTTTCAGGAACTTTCAAATGTGTGCATGCAACAGAGGAGCATTTTACAGCTATCACATAAGAAATGTAGGTGGCAGAAGGTGAGGTCACAAGGAGCTAAAATGGTGAAGGTGGAGCCTTATATTCCTGAGTGAAGGCTAAGGAAATGTCAGCCCTGCCAGGAAAGCATGCAGACAAAGACCTCACCATCTTGCTGTGAAATGAAGGATGCTCTCAATGTATCAGATCCATGTTGGAGTCCCTGGAAACTTTCTCAGCAGATGTATGTCAGTTGATTGTAATCCTGGTGGAGGTCAATGCTATTCTCTACAACACAATCTGAGATGAATTCTCATTAACCTCAGAAAAATCAGCATTCTTGATGGCAGAATTCATATGCCAGCAGTCACACATGGCAGCATCTACTATAGACACTGGGAAATTATTGAGGACATATTCCACTGACCTCTCTGATACATTCAAAGCAGCACTTTGTTGGGTTTGAAGCATATCTGATGATCTCATTCTGAGTTTTAGAAGTATTTACACTTTAATGCGTTGGTCCACTAGCACCTTCTTCCTAATTCAAGTGAGATAGTTATCCTTGTAAATACTGTATTAGTTATGTAACTTAGTGAAATGGCCAATATTGTGATGGATTTGTGGCTTTGCATTTACCAGTTGTTTTACATCCAGGTAAGAATGGAGGAAATCTAAAGGTCACGGGGTCGATAATGCATCCTCTATGAAGGCAGAGGACTTTGGCAAGCAGCCCCACAGTTTGTGCTTCAGAAAGATGTTCTGAAGAATTGCTGCAACTTTGTTTTTCTATGGTTGATGGTATGATGTCACCACATGCCTCCTCTGGCATGTCAACCTTTAACCATTTCTGGACAGGGAAGTTGTGAAGAACAGACTTGAAAGGCTGCACCCCATTATCCACTGACCGGCATCTGTTTCTTCTTTTCAGTATGAGACATTTCCCTTCTTATGCGAGAATCACTGTATCACTTTTGCTGCACAGATTTACATAGGACTGGAGAAAGGAATTATTATTTCCAACCAGCCATTCCAATACATGCTTCATTCTGGGATACGTAGTAGCCAGATGGTTCAGGTGCATTGGTAACTGATGCCCTAGTTTTCTCATGTCGAAAATTTCATTGTCTATCAATCGAGTATCCAGGAAATGAAATCCTGTTCTGTTATGAAATTATAATGATTGTCTGTCATGTCATACCATATTTTACCAAGGACCATGGGAAATTCCAATAGAACAATATTACCAAAAGTAGTTTGACCTATGCAGCAGGAACCACTTCATTTGTCTTTTTACCAAAAAAAAATTGTTATTGTAAACTTCTATACGACTGTAAGCACAACCTTAATCAGAACTGCACCTTCAGTTACAATTGACCGAACTTTTCTGGGGCTCATAGACCACATCACTAGCAGTGTTACCTTATTCAGTGTACTCTCCATGCACCCATTTGCTTATCCTTCAACATGTTTTTTATCATTTCATGAAAGTCCATTAGGAATACCTTTTTACAATGTGGAGAGCTTTTATTCCAGGCTCTCTAGGCAGAGGAGCCTCTCCAGGAGGACTTGGTTTGGGAGCTACAAAATTTGACATAAACAGAAGAATTTTTACTCCAAAAATGTGCAACTAGAGCAGCACTATAGCCAGAACATTTGTTGTCTCTATCAATCAGGTTATAAGGTTGGCAACCCTTCCATTGTCACTACCAGTGGATTTTTTGACATTTTAAAAAGGGTGGAACACAGTTCATCTTGGCCCTGTCTGAAATTCCTGCTACTATTGTAAGAAATTCCACAGTTGTGTCCTTCCTGCCTCTGGGAAATTCAGACTCATTGAGTTTCATTATTATGGGTACTTATGTCATTGAAATCCTTGAGTATTTTGTTCATACATTTGATGCACTGGCCATTACTGTAACAGGTAGATCTGCTATAATGTGTGTTTCGTTAAAGTGAATTGGTTGTAATGCGATTGATAAATAGTGGATGCTGTTTGGATAATGCAGACTTTCTGCTGTACAGGTATAATGATTTTCTGTAGCAATTTCCCTATAACACAATTTTCTATAGCGTGAAGTCACATAAGAACACAACGATTGCGTTACAGAAGAACTACCCGTATTCACATTATTTATTTACAATAAAATACAGTGTCGAGGAAAAAGGGAAATAGTTTCATTACCTGTAGCAGAATCTGTAACAGCTTGGCTTGTGACAGTTGGTAAATCTTGGAGCTGGTATGTTGTGGTGGTCGAAGGAGTTGTTGGACTGCTATTGTTGCTTGTCATATAAGGAGAAGGGTATCCAGAATTGTTATAATAATGTGCATATTGTCCCTGGCCAAAGCCTGCATAAGAATAGTCCTAGAAAATGCAAGATAAAAATATTTAGATTCTGGTTAAATATTCCTCCCTCGGTACTGAAATAATTTTGTTTGTACATGATAGATCAATAATAACACACTCTATCATTCCAAGAGATGGTCCATATTTAGTCGGCATGGATAATGAGTGAGCACTCAGGGTAGACACAAAAGTGCAGTCAGGAAGTGCCAAAACATGGTCAAAGAGAAGGATCTTAAGGAGTTTAGGATAAATATATAACAAAGCAAGAGGCTGAGGGAGAAAGTTTCAGAGGGAAGAACAAAATTATTCAAAGAGGGACTTCTTTATTTATCTATTCATGTGTGGGATGTACGTATCTCTGGCTAGGGCCGCATTTACTGCCCATCCCAAGTTGCCCTTGAGTAGGTGGTGGTGAGCTGCCTTCTTGATCTGCACTTCCCTGCTGTGGGTTGACCCACAATGACCTTAGGGAGGGAATTCTGGGATTTTGACCCAGCAAAAGTGAAGGAACGGCAATATATTTCCAAGTCAGGATGGTGAGTGGTTTGGAGGGGAACTTGAAGGTGATGGTGTTCCCATGTATCTCACATCCTTGTCCTTCTAGATGGAATGGGTCATGGGTTTAGAAGGTGCTGTCTGAGGATCTTTGGTGAATTTCAAAGAATGGCTGATTGATGGTAGAGAAAAGGATGGGGGAATTAAAAATCAAACAATTGTTGAATGTCAGAGGGCGAGACTGAGGTATACAAGATTGCATAAAGTCATGCAAGTGGATCTTGAGGACATTCAAAGTGAGCTTAAAAAGACTTAAATCTGTTTGTCAAACATAGGGAGATCAGTGAATCACAGTAAGGATGGAGACATGAGGTTATGGGATGTGAATGGGGGAGAACATGGGCTGTTTCTAACGATGAACAGTTCATGGATAGCAGAGGTAGCATGGCTGGCAAAGGCAGTTTTGGGAAAGTATGTCCAAGGGTAACAAAAGGTACATTAAGAGGCAGGCAATGGTATGAAGGTCTCAGAAAATGGCCTTTGTGGCAGATTGGATTTGAAGTAAAAGGTTAATAAACTATTAAATGACAGAAACATAGAAGATAAGATCAGGAGGAGGCTATTCAGCCCTTCGAGCCTGCTCCGCCATTCTTCATGGTCATGGCTGATCGTCCAACTCAATAGCCTAATCCTGCTTTCTCCCCACAACCTTTGATCCCATTTGCCCAACTGCTATATCTAGCTGCCTCGTGAATACATTCAATGTTTTGTTATCAACTGTTTCCTGTGGTAATGAATTCCACAGACTCACCAATCTTTGGGTGAAAAAAAGTCTCCTCATCTCCATCCTAAATGGTCTACCCCGAATCCTCAGACAGTGACCCCTGGTTCTGGATACACCCATCAGCGGGAACATCCTCCCTGCATCGACCCTGTCCAGTCCTGTTAGAATTTTGTAAGTCTCTATGAGATCCCCCTTCATTTGTCCGAATTTCAGTGAAAACAATCCCAACTTAGTCAATCTCCCCTTATACGTCAGACCCGCCACCCCTGGAATCAGCCTGGTAAACCTTCGCTGTACTCCCTCGAGAGCAAGAGCATCCTTCCTCAGAAGAGACCAAAACTGCATACATTACTCCAGGAGTGGTCTCACCAAGGCCCTGTATAACTGCAACAACACATCCCTTATACAATGGTCCCCAACTTTAAGCTAAGAAGAATGAACTGGATTTGAAACTGGAGCAGCTGTGGTATTTGCAGGAGAGTACACTTCAGTTTTGTTAACATTACATTTGTTTAAATTTTGGCTTATTCAGCTATCAATATAGAAGAGTGAGTTGGAATACAGGTGGTGTTTATGAGGTCAGTAGAGAAGATAGTGAACTGGACCCGAGTCAGCAAATATGTGAAAGCTGCGCTAACCTGTGCTACTAAACAGCAAGGAAGATAAATAGAACTTTGAATTCGACAGCATTGTTTGCTAACCTTAGGACATCTCAGGATTTGTTACGGCCAATTAAATACTGTTGAGGTGTCCTCTAAAAGTGGGGAACATCACAGTTAATTCACATACAGAAAGATGCCACAAACAGCAATGTGCTAATGCCATAAAATCAATTTTACAGCTGTTGATCAAGGGTTCAATATTGTCCCAGTTTCTTCTGCTGTTCACAAATTCAACTTGAAAGGCCGGAAATTTAACATCTCATCCAAAAGGTGAGATCTCCAACGCTACAGTCGTGTCTCTGCCCTGAACTGGAAAATCAGCCTTTGGTTTTGTACCCAAGGGTTAGATTTTCAAAGTGGGGTAATGTCCGGATGCCAACGCTACACTGGCAGTGTGTCTTCTAAATGCTAATGGGCAGCTTCTGCCAATTGATGGCACTGAGTGTCTCCAAGAGGCAGGGGCTACCTGTGAAACAGCAGCGACAAAGACAGACAGCCACCATAATGGAGCCTGTTGCTGCTGCTTTGTTAAAAAGAGAAGGTAACTCTGTCGAGAGTTGGCAGTGGTTAAGGCAAAGGGAAGTGAGAGTGCAGCAAATAAAGGTATGGTGCTTGATCCAGTGCAAGAACCCCAATGAACTGACCTGTTTTATCAACTCAAAAGCAAACTTGCAATTCTCCACGTAATCAATCTGATAGCTGTGCACAACCACATGCAGATTGCACAGGTTCACCCTCCCCAGTCCACAACTAGCTCCTCAGGCCATTAAATGGAGGCGAGTAACTTCTCCGTTCCATGCCTCCCACCTTCTATTGATGATCATGATTCACCCCAGAGGTTTTGCGATCCAGCACTGGAATCCAAGAAGACGAGTTTTAAAACATTCTTGGACCTATCCTGACCTCACCAGCAACTGCAAATGTGGTCCCAAGTCTATGGAGTGAGACTTGACAGGTAAGTCTGTTAATGCTGAGCCACAGTGTCGACATATTGCAGCAGACCAGATATTACTGCAATATATAGATGGCTGACCATTTGGCAAACTGAAATAAATCACTGGGATGGAAGTAGAGTGCATGGTTTACCAGGTATAAGCAGAACTAGGAGGGGGGACTGTGCAAAGATGAATGGTGCAGCACTAAAGATGGGAATTTGCTCCATCGTGTTTGTGTCAGTTTTTTGCTAAAGTCATCCAAAAGCAATGATTGGAATGGAAGAGGCCGAGGTAGGTGTTTGTTGGAGATGAGTTCATTGAATCATACAGTGCAGAAGAGGTCCTTTGACACTTTGAGTCTGTACTGTCAAAAATATACGACTATCTACACTAGTCCTCTTTCCCGTAGTGAGCCCATAGCTTTGAATGTTATGACACTTCAGATGCTCCTCCAAGTACATTTTAATGGTTCTGAGGTTTCATGGACCAACTACTCTCCCGAGCAGTGTATTCCAAATTCCCATGGCTGTCTGAGTGAAAAATGTTTCTCCTAGACATTATAAAAACTTTAAAAGTTGGTAACAGAGTGGAGGAGTTTGGAGTTGTTTCTGTTATAGAATCATACAGCATGGAAGCAGGCCCTTCGGCCCTACTCATCCATGCTGACCAGATTTCCTAAACTGAACTAATCCCATTTGCCTGCATTTGGCTCATATAGCTCTAAACCTTTCCTATCCATCTACTTGTCCAAATATTTTTTAAATGTTGTAATTGTGCTTGCCTCTACCACTTCCTCTGGCAGCTCGAAGCATACACGCACCACCCTCTGCGTGAAAAAAATTGCCCCTCAGGTCCCTTTTAAATCTTTCCCCTCTCACCTTAAACCTATGCCATCTCGTTTGGGACTCCCCTATCCAGGGGAAAATATCTTGGCTGTTCACTTATCCGTGCCCCTTATCATTTTATAAACCCATGTCTTTGGGTATGTCCAGCCGAGAATGCTAAATGTTGCATTGCCTTATGACCCTTCCTCCTTCTAGGAACTCAGTTTGTGAATACTGTTTGGCATTCCTTAATTACTGCTCACTCTTGGTTTTGATTATACACCATGCGGTCCTTTTAACTATTGTGCTGGAACTTTCCAGCAATACTTTCAACTTTTGACTGGAAAGTTTGCCCTTAGAACCAACATACATTTTGAGCAACTAAACAGCTTCCTCAAAACTATTACTTTGTGCAACTGTGTGTTTTGGCAACAACATGATCTATGGTTGCTTGAATTTGTGTAATTTGACTTTTGTGCTGATATTTCAATCCACTTTTCTCCTTTCTTGCTGTAAATAGTTATTCTTCGCATCTGAGATTGGACATAAACAGTTTATATTTATACAGCATCTCTAACATAGCAACGATCTAACAGAAGTGTATTCAAAATATCTGATGCCGAAGCACATAAAGGTATTAAGCCAGATGACAAAAAAGTTTGGTCAAAGAGTTACGATTTAGGGATGGGAGAAAAGTAGAAAGACAGTGAGGATTTAAGATAGAGCTCCCAAGTTTGGATTCCAAGCAAGTGAAAGAACAGCAGCTAAATGTAGAGAAACTAAAGCAGAGATGTGCTGAAGGCCAGGTAGAAGGATATCTTGGAGGCTTGAGAGACTAGAGGGAAGTGCAGAGATTGGGAGCCGAGAGGACACGGAGAGAGATGAAAACAAGGTTACCAAATCTCTGGGGAAATGTTTTTAATTAGGCATTAAGCCCCTTACTAGATTATGCCAGGAATCTAATGCGTATTTAATGCAGTCACCCAGTATCCATGAATATCATGAGGCCAATGTGGGGTTGAAAATATTTCAGGCTTTACTGGGGAATGAGGCAACATTGTTCCTCTTGGTCCCGGCTTTCTGCACAGAAAATGATGTATCAACGTGTATCAATTTCTCCCATGCAGACTTCAAGGAGGACTCCTCTATCAATACCATAAATCAGACTGCTAACATTCAGAAGATAACTGAATGTTTGCTGTATATCATAAACTGATAGTTCTCACCTGGAAAGGAAGCTACAAAGAACGTCACACATTCAGAATTTAACTGGGGGCTTCACAGTGCAACATTAAGCTGAAAGAGGATGTGATCTGTGAACTAGAACACTGGGCTACAGAGGCAAAGGGCCAACACCATTGACAGAAATCAGAAATGTGAAATGAAAGCAAAATACTGTGGATGCTGGAAATCTGAAATAAAAACAGAAAATGCTGCAGAAATTCAGTAGGTGTCCAATGATGTCTTCGGAATTGAAGGGAGGTGTAAAATTGATGGGTTTCATGCTGGTAAAGGAGATGGTTGGGGTGGGGGTGCAAGTGGAATAGAAGGGCAGATCAAAGAAAGGTTCTGGGAGATCAGAAGTATCACAGAACAAAAGACAAATGGTGATGGTTATAGAGAAGACATCACATAGATCCAGAATAAAAGTTAAATGATGAACAATAAAGAACAAAGATGAGCTCTGACTGAAAGCAAAATCATGAAAACAACATGCATTTTGTGTGTGTGTGAACGTGTGTGTGTGCGTGAGTGTGTGTGCGTGAGTGTGCTTGTGAGTATGTGAGTGTGTGTGCCTGTGTGTGTGTGCGTGAGTGTGATTGCGTGTGTATGCATGAGTGTGATTGCGATTGTGTGTGAGTGTGATGTGTGTGTGCGTGAGTGTGTGTGCCTGTGTGTATGTGGAACAATCAAAGCAGAGGTCAGAGTTCATTATCTGAAGTTCACGAACTCAATGTTGACTTGAGGGGGCTCTTTAGGGCCTAAAGTCACCACACACTTCCCAGACTATAGGGCTGCTCCCTCAACAGACACAGAGGTGGCTGGTGGTGGTTTAACCAAGGGTCACCAAGCCTCAGTCAAGGGGAGAAGTTAAACAAGACAGTCTTTCATGATAACTTCAGCCAGTGCAGATGCTGAGTCTGCACTGTTGGTGTCTGTATCACAATCCAGCCATCCAGCTTGACTCTCTTTCTCAACTTCTGACACATATATTAGAGTTGATCTTTCTCTGTACCTTCGCTGCAGCTGAAACACTACATTCTACATTCTGTTCTATAACCCTGATGTACTTATGTAAGGTCTGATTTGCCTGGATCGCACACAAAATACTGTACATGTGACAATAATAAATCAAATCAAATCACACCTGAGGGGTGGTGACCCTCAGGTTAAACCACCGCCAGTTGCCTTTCTCTCCCTGTATAATAAGAGAGCAGCACTGAGGTCTGGTAGGATTATGGTGATTTTATCTTTTTTTAACAGTGCCTGAAATGAAAGTAAGGTGCTTCACTGGAACTCTGCAGCAGGGCTAGGACGGAAATGTGATCATGACAGCAGGGCTAGGACAGAAAATGTGATCATGACAGCAGGGCTAGGACAGGAAATGTGATCATGAAAGCAGGGCTAGGACAGAAAATGTGATCATGAAAGCAGGGCTAGGACAGAAATGTGATCATGAAAGGAGGGCTAGGACAGGAAATGTGATCATGAAAGCAGGGCTAGGACAGAAAGGTGATCATGAAAGCAGGGCTAGGACAGGAAATGTGATCATGACAGCAGGGCTAGGACAGGAAATGTGATCATGA